TTAGGATCGAGCTCTGTTCGAGATATTTCAATGCATAAATAACAAAACCATAACCTGTCAGAATGAAGCCAACTGCCTTCTGCATTCCTGCTCCGAGTGCATTTGTGGTTATGTATGTTTTTGTTTACCAGTTTTACTTCTTCTATTGTTCTCATTCCTTAGCTATTCACTAGCTGTATTCTTCACCTTATGCTATTTTCAGACTAGATTCAGAATGCACATCACAGTTATTTGCCGCCCCGAAAATTAGAAATTGCTTTAAATTGAGAATGAAAACGACTTGGACTTTATCGGTCGCCATTCTCTACAGCGTGGACATAAAACTGGAGAGTCCCTAACTCCCCAGTGAGCACAAGAACATCTCAGAGATGTCAAAAGTACGAGATTTCGAGACATTGAACCTCCACTGCGATGTTCTGTTCACACATGAATAGAACTATTATAGAACAGCCAATGTCCGCCGCAGGCGACAATTATCGAGATGTCCTTGATATGTCACAAAACTACCTCCTTCCTAGTTCTTTTTAAAGCCTTTTCATGGACACAACAAAACATTTCCAACGCGTCTTGCGCACATTGAATCGCTGAAAAAAAAAACATTTTCGAGGTACTTTTCTGAAGCCTTTTGTCAAAATGAACTTTTGCATTAGGATTCTATTTCCCTTGATTGAAAAAATGCATTAAAAATAGATTAAAAATATTTTCTTGATATGAAATTACCTTCTTAATCGGTTTCGGAGTAGTGCTTACTACACACAGACATATAATTGGGAATAGGTTTGCCAATTTTTGAAATGTTCTCCACAATGCATAATTTTGCAACTGCGGAGATGCTGTGTATTGATGAATTCGTACTTTTATATATTGATTACACTGAGGCACCGAACAACACATCTTGCATCTGATGGTCATTATTACAAACTAAATAAGTCTTCTAACACAATAAACTTCACCAAATTCCTTTCTGTTCGTTAGCAGCGTGATGTAAGCGTGACACGCTGCAAACGCGAATGCCAATTGCGAACAAGAAGAACAAAATCGAAAACAAATCAGAATTCATCGTATTGTGACGTAAGTATGAGACGTTGTGGTGGGGCAAACAAAGAAAGGGCACTGAAGAACAAAAACAATACTTTCAATATCCTTCTAAGACCTCTTTGGGAAGTGCATATTACGCCTCAAGAAAACATCCTCATGCCTACATTTCTAAAACATCCCAAAACATCCCAGGGATACCTCTCAGTAGGCAAACAAAGAAATGCCACAGAAGAACAAAAACAATACTTCAATATCCTTCAAAGACCTCTTTGGTCAGTGTATATTATGTCTCAAAATAACATCTTCATGCCAACATTTTCAAAACATCCCAGGGATATTTGTGCTCCCTGGGTTATTTAATAAAAATTCATTTGAAGGAAACTTCCTCATTTATATCTGGTTAGTTAACCTGGAAAAAAATCAGGAAACTGAACCAACAAAACACAGAAATCTTAACTGAGTTTGTTTATTTAGGGATTTTTTTTGTAGGTGCAATATCATATTGGTTCTGCAATCCTTTTGGAGTCCGATATTAAGTCAGTGTGTGAGTCTAACCCTATGCTAACAGCTCTCCAAACCAAATGGCCAAATATAGAAGTCAACTGGTATAATAATATCACACCATCCCTTAACTGAACATTACCAGTTTCATCGTATTGAATTTTCTTGTAATTGTATGCATTTAAATATTGATAATTTAATTGTTACACTGTCAAATACATTTTTTATTTTGCAAATTTTGCAGTTTTTCATTGTCCATAATCAGACAATGGGCATGTACACCTTAGTAGAACTTCTAACTCAAACCATGTTTATAATGATCCTTTCATACATAAATAATGATTGACGACATAATTCGATCGAAAAATTAACTGGAATGTTTTATTTTTGGGCATATAATAGTACCTTCTGAAAACGGACCCTCTTATGACGTAGAAACCTCATCTCGCCATAGTTAAAAGAAAATACCAGACTGAGGCAACTGATATATTAATTCTTTCAACTGTGATCTCGCGCTAATTCACTCTGTCAGAAATCATGTATCATTCACCTCTGTCTGGAATAATCTTGTTTCAGTATTAGGGTTTTGACGTCACATCATCGCCTCGTTTTCAGAGGTCCGAAAAATCGGGGATTTCAATAATTTTTTATAAAACGTAGGGAGCTCACAGCAAGAAACGGTTTGCGGTGGTGAGCTAGTTTGTGTGAGTTCTATCGAGTTATGTAATAAAAATTTTTTGTGATATAAGCCCATTGTTCCAGCTTGGTTACACAACAAAAATATGACTTCCAGAGTTGGTCAATTGATATTTCTCAACGTTTGTGGGTAATATTTTCAATCAGATGTTCTGAAATTGGAAATTGTCTTTTCTGCGATGATTTATACTGGGTGGTCCACGTTGAAGGTCATTCATTTTTGAAAGACAATAGAAAAACGAAGACAAGAAGTCTTTCATGAGAAAACTATGTTGAAAAATGATTATTAACGAAGATACAGGGTGCCAATGTTTTGGACAAAAACTGGTTTCCTGAATAACTTCTACATTCCAAACCACCTATTTGAAGTGAACCAAAAAACATGAGGTGTTGTGAAGGCTGCGATCGAGTAGCAAGGCTTCCAATTATATTTATGAAGTAGACATTGCAGTGTTGGTTTTAATATTTCCAAAATATGTAACACAGCCCGAGTACTCTATCAAGGTGTCAAAACTGTGACACCCTGTATCTTCGTTAGGAAACATTTTCAACAGACTTTTCTCATAAAACTTTACTTTTTTGTTGTTGGTCTTATCAACCATCAGAATTATTGACGTTGAAGGCTTGGACTACCCTGTATAGGAGGTGGATTTTTTTACTCATGACTCATGTAAATTCAGAAATCATCATCCACCACTATTCCAATAAATTTATTTTTCAAAAAATCATTAATCGGATCATGACTTTAAGAACCAGTTACAATTGAAAGAGTTGTGAAGTAGTAGTTATTTTTTTTTTCATAAAAAACATCTGAAGAACAAAAAATATATTTGAGGCAGTCTGGCAGTCACAGTCACCTCAAAACTATTAAAAATTGAGGTCAATCATGGTGTGCCACATATATACAGGGTGTTATTTTATAACTGATTGGAAATACTTATCCCAACAGTGTGTTACAATTTGCTCCACCCCACTCCTGTACTTTATTCGTATTCCTTGATGGAAGATTTAACACTTTTTTCTCGTAATTTACTACTAAAAATTATCTACTTTGTCGAATAAAAAAACATGTCCAATCACAATTTCTTATCCTACTGCGATCGCAAAAACTCTAGCAAAATTGAAGAAAACCGATTGGTATTTTTTTTTAAATGTTGGTAATGGCAATTGATTCAGACTAGCCACAAATACTCCTATATCAATTTTCAAAGCAATATCTAATAAGGGGTGTTTTTTATTAACGTTACAATTTTTCGATAATTGAATTTTTCGTCATGTATTTTGATTAATTATCTACCGACATTTAATCAGAACAGATACAGAGGGTGATCAGAATTCTGAATCTTGAACCACCTTGTATTTGTTTGAATCAAATGTCAGTAGATTGTGAATCAAAAGTAAAGATAGGAACATTGGAGCGGTTTTGATCGATAATGGAAAGTTTCGGCACAAAAAAATCCTAAAGTTGATAAATCTAGATTTTAAACACCCTATACCTATGTAATCATTCCCGCTAGACCTCAAGTGTGATAGATCGATGGAATCAGCTCTACAAGGAGAATCTGAAAATCAAATGAAGTACAGGGTGTTTCATTCAAGTTAATAAAAAATCCGGAATAACTGAAAAAGTGGCAACATTGGCTATAACATTTTCAAATCCGCTACGTTTTGAAATCACACGGTACATAATTTCAAAAAAATCCGACAACAGGTTACCGAGATATTCATCTGTTGCCATAAGTACATATAGACGACCCTGTATATGAGAAGTGTATAGAGAATGAAGATTTGATCGAGTATACAAAAATCTGAATTTGTTAGTAATGGTTGGTTGCTATTTTAGTTTTTATTCAATTTTTTTTATGTTATTTTTTGATTGTTTTTTTTTTCACTTCTCTTCGTGTCTTGATAATACATTTAAATTTCTAGTGATTTTATTCCTTATTTATCTCACTCTTCAGACAGATGATCTAATCCTGACTACCATCATGCTTACATTGAAATTCTTATAAGAATTACCTATTATACAGGGTCGCTTGAAAAATATGCAATTATTCAAAAATTGTAACGTTGTTAAAAAAACTCCCCTCATGAGATATTGTATTGAAAATTGATATAGGAGTGTGACTAGTCTGAATCGATTGCCATTATCAAAATTTTTTTAAATGAATGCCTAATCCGTTTCTTGAATTCTGCAGAAGTTTTTGGCCAAGTAATTGTGTTTGATATAATTTTTGTTTGCTCACCAAAGTGGACAATTTTGAGTTAGGAGCTGTTTTAATCAAAAATTCAAAAATTATTTTTGCCCCATAGGTACTCCTAGACTCTTCGATATATTGGCAGGACGACAATGGGAAGTGATTGATCATTCCCAAATTCTACGCCAGTGGCAGAATTTTCATTTCCTCACAATTTTTCGATTCTCCAATACTCAATAAATATCCGAATGTTTCTTCATGAAGATAAAATCCATTATTATCCCAGATATTTCAAGTTCACCATGAAACTGCGCAATTATCTTTATCTCAATCACCAGGTTTAACAAAAAAAAAATCAACACCCTGTGACTCAGACATGAGAGACATTTTATCTGGGTTCTAGGATTCTATTATTGAAATATTTCCAATCAGTAATGACACATCCTGTATTTAAAAACTAAAAACTATTGATTTGAGAGAAAAACAAATGAGTTCCAGAAAAAACGTAAGAATATAGAAAGAAACAGCATAAAACAAAAACAGTGAACTGGAAATGAAAATACCAGCTAAAACAAAGACTTTATTTATCATTTATAAATTGTACACAGTGCACAAATTTCATCTAATTTCATCTTGGCAGTTTGTGAATGGAAATGAAGTGAAAACCCACAATTCTCTCTATATATAATTATAATTCTATTCACTATTTAAGTAGACGAAACAATTTCGATAATAAAACCAACAAAAAAGAACATTCAAAATATATTTTTTCGAAGCCATAACAAACGTATAAAGTTTAAAAATAATCAACAGACTGAAAACTAGCTAGCTATAAGAAAGTGAAAAAAAAAAAAACTGTCTATATTATATTTTTTAAGTAGTAGGTATAATTTCCAAATTTTCCTATGATTTACGTGATTACAGTGGGCTTCTCAAGCCCAGTGAATTTCTGGAGTTGCGATATATCCAGCGCTATCCGCACCAGAGGCTTCAACATGTCCTGGGCATCAGCCAGGACGTCCTTTTTCTCGTAACTGTCGATGTATATTCTGATTGTGGCGCCACTGCTGCCGGTGCCGGACAACCTGTAGATGACTCGCGAGCCGTCCTCGAAAAGTACTCTTATGCCCTGGAAAATCCGCGGAAAAATTGCTAAATACCTCCTGAAGACACTATTTGCCTGTCTTGACTAAACGGACAAAATGGTTTCTACCATCTAAACGGGAAATTAGAGTCGGCGATATTCAGGATTCACGAAGTGGGCGACATCTAGGTTACATAATACGAACTTCAAACTGGGGGAAAACAAACTGTTGTCTATGGATGAAGTGCATAGACTACATTGCATTGAGCTTGCTGTAGCTGTAGTCAAACTTGTCAATGACATAAAGTGTTGGCACTTTTGGTAGTGATGATGGTTGAGTTGGTTAATTTTTTTACCTTATTACATATTTATTAGTTTAGTGAACAGTGAACGGGTGAAGAATTGGAGATAGTTCAAACAATTCAAACTAATTATGACGAGCAAATCAATCGACATATAAAAGAACAGCTACAACATGTTTGCAATACCCAGATTGTCCTCCTTTGCATGAACAAATACAAATCCATTGTTCTACAGGAGTTCCTCTGGACCCCAACTTCAAATTTACTTCATGTGGGGAAGATTTCATCGCCGAAGTTTGTAGACAAAGTGCAAAAATGTGCCTTTTGTTGAAGTCTTCTGCCTCACACAAAACCACATGATTAGCACGGAGAACTGCTTCTGCCAAATGAACATCTACCACAGGCATTATTAGCGTTTTCGATCGAATATTGACAATTATTAATGTCAAGAAGTTCAAAAACGTATCACTCTTATCAGTACACAGTACACAAGCTAATGGCACTAATGGGATTTAGTTTGTTTTCCCCCAGTTTTGACGTGGCTTTGACATTGAACGATGAAAACCGAGCGCCACCTGGTAACATTGATTCTCGCGAATAGTTATTTTAGTTGATGGAGATTTCCCTACAAATTCCTGGCCAAAAGGTATCGTCATAGCTGTTCATCCTGGTTATGATGGCAATATACGAGTAGCAGATGTAAAGACAGCATTTGGTGAATACAGGAAGACCCGTAACAAAGATGTGCATTCTCGATGTTGAAAAACCACAAGAAGAGGCTGAAGAGTAATGAACCAGTGTTCATAGGGACCACTATGTATCGGACTCCGGTTATGTTTTGATTTATACAAATCTCGACTTTGAATATATGATTTTACAAATTTTCGCCAGTGACAAGACGCCAATTTTCTGACTGACTTATATATTGACATTTCTTGTCTCACTCATACAGGATGAAAAATATAATCGAACAACTAAAATAAATCAATGAAAATAAGAGAATATATTCCACAGGAACAGACACTATAATTTCAGCTGAGTAGATGAAAATCACCTTGAACCGAATACAGGGTAACTCACGGTCGATGATAGATTAGACTAGAGTTCCTAAATGTACTTGACACTGCTGTTTTGACCTTTTTTGTATATTAGAGTACGGACACTAGACAAGCAGTGTCAATCAAACATAAACAAACGATTTTGAAGCAAATCATATGTTTTGCCGGACAAGGACAAGCATATGTTTTTCGAATGTAAAAACTACACAAACGATAAGATTTCCACAAAATTCTCAAACACACGACATGTTTTGCTAACACAGTAGCTTCGTCAGGTGATATACTGGTACAATGAACTGTTCATGTGTGAGATACTCGCTCAGTTTATGAATTATAGGTTTGGCTCTTTCTCTCAATACGATCCTATTCTTCAACATAAAAACTTCCGTTCTGGAGTGTACCTGATAAAAATACGTTGAAAAATATTCTATATCCTACCAAGAAATTTGAATACCTCGCAAATTTTGTGACATGAACTTATATTCCATGCCGGCCGCATCCTATTCTGTTTCCATTTTTGTAGAATTAAGTTACCCGATGGACATTCGAATAGAGTGAATTGATTTCCTGTGTTCTCACAGTTGAAAACTGCATCTTCCTCCTAATTCTCTCAATTTGTCAAACCTTTGAAATTTATGTCATGTACGTCCGTGTACTGTCAGTTCCCGCTCTTTCCATCAATTTATTTGTGGTTATGTCGGATTGTCAGTGCTTGTCATAATGTCCGTACTCTAATATACAAAAATCGTCAAAACAGCAGTGTCAAGAACATTTAGGAACTCTAGATATGCTAGATAAGCTGATTTTTGATAGAGTTGTTGGAAACTTCGAGCCATAGTTGATAAAATTATTTTGTAATCTTACAAACTTCCTTCTCGTTCATTGGTGTCAATTCAGGAAACATTTGGTTGCATTTTCTGCAAGTTCTGGCAATGACTTGATCACATTGTCCGTGTATAATAAATAACTTCACAAAAATTTCCTTTGATAAATCGATATTTGCGTTCATTCTGGGAGTTTTTTTGAAACTGTCCATAAGAATTACTGAATTACTCATTAATGTCACCGAACTGTCATGAGTTTGATATTTCCATGGCTATCTAAAATCAACTTCTTCATAAAATTATATTTTACACAAAAAACGGCTTTATTAAGAAAACTTGATGATTTAGGTATAGGGACATGCTAGCTATGTCATCTTGTAGCATTCTTCTTCATCCTTCAATTTATTGAGTAAAAAACAGTGGGTTCCATATGAAAGAATGAACTTATGACCACTTGTATGAACAACGGATTTAATAATAATTTCAGCATGCCCTGTTTGATATGGAGATTCGAGATTGTTGCCAAGTCCATATTTATGTTGTCAACATTTCTCCCTCGTTCGTTTCTGATTTGCCTGGCTGGTATTGGAGCCCTGGAAGAGATGGCGGTATAGAGGGTACTATCATCCGCGAAGCTGTGTACTGGACATGAAGTTGCTTCCAATAAATCTTTGATATGGAGTAGAAATAGTGTAGGTGCTAGAATTGATCCTTGCAGAACACCAGCATTTATGATAAGAGAGTCAGATGAAACTCCGTCGACCACTATATGGAGAGACCTGTTTGAGAGAAAACTAGCTAGCAGAGAGCATAGCTGGGGAGGCAAGCCATAAGATGGAAGCTTGGCGAGGAGTCCGTGGTGCCAGACTTGATCGAATGCCTTGGAGATATCAAGTGCCACGGCTATAAGTTTTCATCATATTTTTCAATAGATTGCTGCGATGTATGCGAGATGTAAGCGAGCGATTGGAATAAAATAATTGTATTCACGTGACTATAGGTTAATAAAGTTTATGCATATGTTAGTTGGTCTGTGGAATTCAATAGTCAAAGACAGAAAAGATTGCGAATGCAGTGGTTTGAGCCATCTCTCAAATACACTTTGAAATATCTAGTTACTGTACCTGATTTTTAGCAACACTTTTGTCGATTGGATCCACATAAGAAAAGTTATCCACTTTGCTGATTTTGTAGGATTTGCCATGTGCGGTGTACGTTTTTCCAATCAGATCAGGACTAGCAATCAAGTTTTCCAAATGTTCCATCATTTGATTGGCAGCATCGCTCTCGCATTCTTCATAATCATATCTAAGAATATTTCGAATTTTTATTTTTCATTTTTCAGCATAATATAATCAAATCTGATAATCAAGTAGTGCAAATATCATAAATTATTGCGATGACATTTTTTTGAATGAAATGAAATGGGGTTTTTAGTTGATTTCCCTGTTAACATGTCAAAATCTGACTGTTCAATGATCTCAACCAATCAATATGTGATTCTGAACAATTTTGTCATTGAACTAAAGTCGCTTAATTACCTGGTGAAATAATTTCTTCCATAAATACTCCAATGTTCTTTCAGGATTTCTTCCACGCTCATGTTCTTGTGCTCGATAACAGAGAGCCATGCCAGCACAGCCCATATGCCATCCTTTTCTCTGATGTGATCAGAACCAGTACTTGAAAAAAGATTGAACAACGAGATTTTACCGGTGTTTTTCTTGGCGGTTGGCTTCAGAGGTGTCAAACGTCAAATGTTTACAAACTTGAGGAACTATTTTATTTCTTTTATATTGAAATTGCTAGATTATTGGATCTTAGGGCAATAACAACTTCTTGGATTCCTCGGGTTTTGAACTAACTGTCATAGACAATAACAATAATTTATATAAAATAATAGAGATGATCAGCGACGTATCATCCGCATACATATTGGGAGAAAAATGGACTGATATGTCATCCGAATCATCCAAGTATAATATGAAAAGGACAGGCCCCAAAACTGAGCCTTGAGGTACTCCAATTGTGACTGTTCGTTTTGAAGAGATAGTATGGTCAATAGAAACATACTGACTCCTTGAATTGAGGAAGCTTTGCAGCCAATGGTGAGGAACACACCGTATTCCGTATCTAACCTTTTTATATTGAGGAAACTATGATTTTCTTCTCCATTTCTCCCATTTCCAATGTTACCAACATGAAATTTCCATTATTTTACGTTGGAACACTGAAGACAAGGACAGATGGGGAAGACATTTTTTCTCTCTCAACGCTGTTCTATTAGAAACGGAAGTAAAACCTATATTGGTGATATTAACTGAATCAATGAATATTGAATCATCTTGACAATTCACAGTTAGTCAATTCGAAAATTGAAATATATCTTCTTGAAATGAAACAGCTGGCAACACAGGAATAGGGATTATGACGTCAGTACTGGGTAGATGAGTTTGCCGCTGAACGCTATTTGAACTTTCCATGAAATTGTAGGATATTCAAATGATGTTTTTCGAAGTATCGCATGATTCAACAAAAAATTGATACATTCAAATTATGTTGATATGATATTAGTTTGCCGCTGAACGCTATTTGAACTTTCCATGAAATTGTAGGATATTCAAATGATGTTTTTCGAAGTAGCAGCATGATTCAACAAAAAATTGATACATTCAAATTATGTGGATATGATATTACAGTAACATTTCTAGACTATTGGGATCGGCAAAAGGCATTCGAAAAGTGACATTGAATTTGACAACAGTTGCTGCCAACATAATGACTTTTATATTTAGTCACCGAATGAAATTTCCTCTGAGAAACGAGGGATAAATGAGTTGTTATCGTTTTTATTCTCAATGAATATCAATCCAGCAGTTTTTGAGCTGACAGAAATAGAATAATCTCACAATGTGAAATGTCTATCCCTGAAAATATGGCCCACTTTTATAATATTGACTCACCCAAAACTTTCTTCACCACAAAGAGACAATCTGCCGGCGTCCATTAAATTACCGAAATACTTCCATCCGGTGGGTACTTCAAACATTTCTTTCTTCAATTTTTCAGCAACCCTGAAAATTCCATCATGTACAGGGTGATTTTTTATATTTTACTCAATAGCTAGCTCAGTTAATATTGGTATTACAGAAACGTTCAGAATATATAACTAGAAAATGCCAAAAAGCATTGTAAACCTAAAAATTTTACATAAACTGGTATTTTTTACAAGGAACCCTGTATTTTTTTCCGAACGGAAAGATAACCTCTATAAAGTATTCCGGGTGTCCCAGATCTTTCCATACAGCTAATATCTCAGTTATGCTGCTTAAAAAAAACACTTTTATGATGATTCTTTGAAAAATAATTGTACCTGTCTACAGCAGCAGCAGTTGGCATCGATCTGGCGAAACCATGAACGCCGTTCTTTTGGAAATAAGGAATGCAATCGAGATTATTGGCCAATACAGCCAAACTGTCACTGGGAGTGACGAAGAAAGCGTTTTTCCCGATAATCATGTTACGATCCTGAAATAAAAATCAACGTTTCGTTGAATAATTCGAAAGGAATAAGTCTGTTCTAGGGAAAACAAAGATAACAAACACACAGAACATTGAATTACTTCCTACCGAAATCTATGCAATGATTCTTATAGACGAATACAGATGCAAGTCTTTCTTTTCTGGGATATCCCCAGATGGCATTCATGACCACCATGTAGTGCGAACCTGACTCAACGTTGACACCTCTCAGAATTTAATACCCACGAGGCGTTCGACCACTGTGAAATGGACACAACGCCGTCTAGGGCAGAAGGAAAAAAACACTCCACGTATTTTAGAGAATATTTTTCTTTCACCTAACTCACAGTGACTGTAGCTTAGAGAAAAAGTCGTATTTAGATCCCAACAATATGTCCTTGAAATATTTACATCGAATTTTGAGTCACTCTGTATACATCATGGAAAGCTGTAGAGACACAAGGAATCTAAATGGCTTTTTGAATTATTCATAGTCTTTCAGGAAGCTCAAAAGATTGATAGTAATGTTAAGTCAAGTTTTCTTGGAATGCATCATTAATGATTGTATTATGAGATATATTGGACAAACAGGTCAAAATAGTGGCACAAGATTTGAATAACATATTGCTTACCTCAGATATATGTAAAATCAGTTTGATAAATCAAGTTTTCTAAATATTATTGTGATATTTTTGTATATTATTGAACTTGAAGAATAATGGTTCATCAGAAACACATTTCTCATTTTTTCCAAAATACACAATCAACGAGTCACAAGAAATTTGAATGGTATTTTTCAATCATTCATAGTGTTTTAGGAAACCCAAAAGATTACTGAATACTAATTTCAAGTCAGGTATGATTGTATTGTATGATGAATGTCAATTTATCATAGGTACATCCAAAAAAATGAGATATAGGTATTGGACAAACACGTCAAAGTATCGACACAAGATTTAAGGAACATATTGCTCACCTCTGATAGATGTAATCAGTTTGATAAATTAAGTTTTCTAAATATTATTGTGAAATTTTTTGTACATTATTGAACTTGAAAAATGATGGTTCATAAGAGACACATCTCAATTTTTTTTCAGCTTACACCATCAACGAGTCACAAGAAATTTGAATGGCATTTTTAAATCATTCATAGTGTTCAAGGAAGCCTAAAAGATGAAATGAATGCTAATTTTGAGTCAGATACGCATTGAAACATGAGATATAGGTATTGGGCAAACACGTCAAAGCATCGGCACAAGATTTAAAGAACACATTGCTCACCTCTGATAGATGTAATCAGTTTGATAAATTAAGTTTTCTAAATATTATTGTGAAATTTTTTGTACATTATTGAACTTGAAAAATGATGGTTCATAAGAGACATATTATCTCATTTTTTTTCAGCCTACACCATCAACGAGTCACAAGAAATCTGAATGGTATTTTTAAATCATTCATAGTATTTAAGGAAGCCCAAAACATGAAATGAATACTAATTTTGAGTCAGATACGCATTGTAACATGAGATATAGGTATTGGACAAACACGTCAAAGTATCGACACAAGATTTAAGGAACATATTGCTCACCTCTGATAGATGTAATCAGTTTGATAAATTAAGTTTGCTAAATATGATTGTGAAATTTTTTGTACATTATTGAACTTGAAAAATGATGGTTCATAAAATACATATCTCGATTTTTTTCAGCTTATACCGTCAACGAGTCACAAGAAATTTGAATGACATTTTTAAATCATTTATAGTGTTCCAGGAAGCCTAAAAGATGAAATGAATACTAATTTTGAGTCAGGTACGCATTGTAACATGAGATATAGGTATTGGGCAAACACGTCAAAGTATCGGCACAAGATTTAAAGAACACATTGCTAATTATTGTGGTATTTTGTGTAAATTTTTGTATTTGAACTTACGCCATCTCCGTCGAATGCCACGCCGAAATCATAGCTGGTATTAGCTTTCACTTTATCTACGAGATCTTTGGCATATGTGAGGTTTGGATCCGGATGGATTTCCCCGAAATTGTCTAGAGGCACTATTCTACAAACATTGTTGTCGGGACTAGCACCGAGTTCTTCGACGAATATTTTCCTTACAAACACGCCGGTAACTGAAATTGGGAATCAGTATTTTCATAATAGAAACTTGCTGAATGAAATGGGAATGAATTCGAGAATATTGAAGATTGATAATTTACGATAGACACATTTTTCTAACAAGTTGCAGGTCAAATACAGATTTTTTTTATACTGAATTCATATCAGGAAAGATACTTGGAAATGTACTGGGTATTTCCTTAAAAAGAGCCCAGAGCTCGTTCAACAAGGAGTGTCAACAGGTGGTTTTGAAATATAGTGAATCGCCCTGTAAATTGTTGATGTAAAATTTTAGTATGACAAAAAATTTTAACTTTCGGACAATTTTTAAAAAGGCATGCAAGTACATATACCCGGGATGAAATGGTCGTTTTTGGAAATTATACCAATGGCTTCATCTGTCATTCTGTTCATTCAATGTCATAAAATTTTTGTTTAATTTTAAAAAATATGAGCCAACCAATTATTAATATAATACTGATTCAAATAGATTCATCAGTTTACATAATATAAGAAAATTAGATAGAAAACTGATATCTGCTGCCTAACTAATTTTCAAAATCAATTTGTACTTACAATTTTTCTTGAATTCAAACTATAATACCACACTATACAGAGTATGTCACGACGAGCATACATCTCCATGAAAATATGAAGGCTTATATTTTAGAATACGCTCTTCAGCAATGCAGTGTTGCCGCTTCTGTCAAAAAGTAGCAACAACTTTGTTATTTCAAATAGAATACCCTGTATTTTATTGCATCTTTAGATTCTCCCTGAAGAGCTGATTTCATCGATACATCACACTTGTGGTCTATCAGAAATGACACAGAGATATAGGGTGTTCAAAATCGAGATTTTTCAATATGAGGATTTGTTTGATTTTGAACACCCTATATCTCGGTAATCTTTTTCGATAGACCCCAAGTGTGATACATCGATAAAATCAGCTCTTCAGGGAGAATCTAAAAATGCGATGAAATACAGGGTGTTCCATTTGAAATATCAATGTTGCTAATACTTTCTAGTAGAAGCGGCAACACTGCATTGTCGAAAATATTTTAAATGAAGAGAGCGTATTCTAAAATATAAGCATGCACATTTTTATGAATTTCTCCCGACTGATTCTTGATATAAAGATAGTGTAGGTATAGGACAACTTTTTTATTTCATTGAATCACCCTGTGTATTTTTGCACATTCAGAAAGACTGGTCTTCTCTCTATCTAACAATATATTACAAGTTATGTTCTCCTAGAAAACTATTAGAGTTATAACTCTTTGAAACAACTACTACTTGTGGAATGGTTTAATGAGATTATGCAATGTTATCAAAGTTGCCCTATACCTGAATAATGGCTCGTTTGTTTCCGGTAGAACCAGAAGTTCAGGTGAGAAGGTGAACCAGTCAAAAAACTTGAAGAATATCAAAATAGAGAAGTCCAAACCGGACAACGATAATCTGAATAGTTTCGGCATGTTTCGGAGTTATGAGCAGTTGAAATGGGTCAGAATATAACTGGTCACTCGGTATTATTGATTGGATTAGTAATTAATACTTTACCTCCATTCATTGAATCGATGAGTACATTGAAAGGAGGACGTTTTTCAGTACCACGAATAAGAGTCCTAAGTTTTGGAAAATCGAATATCTGTTTCATTAGCCCCACATAATCAGCAGTAGAATCGATTACTTCCACTACAAAATCTCGTCCATCAACCTGAAAATATACAGGGAGTTGCTACCCAAACATACAGAGAATGGTAGATTGTTTTATTAAGATTAAAAGTGACACTTTGTTTGACAAGCGAATTTTGCATTTGCGAGGCGGAGCGTTTAGCGAAGCCGAGCGAAAGCAAAATTTGCGAGTCGAACAAAGTCACTTTTGATCCGAATGAAACATGCTATTTTTTCTGCAACCGAAACAATCAACTCAAATAAACATGTGGTGAGAATATTCTACCTGCATTTACAGCAGGTTAGGTTTTCTAGGATGTTCGAATTGTAGTTTCAATATAAATACAACCACAGTGTGACATATTTGTGTATGGACCAGGTGCTCTAATGGAAAATACCGCGCCAGTGCCAGCTATAGGAACAAGACGTGGAAAATGTTAGGTTAGTGAGCATATCAACAATGATAATAGTGATTATTTATTCCTCTCCATACTACACTGTGTTTGAATTGATAATCAAATGAAGCTAAACAATATCGTTGTTTGAGACAAAAAAAACTATTGCTTGCCGTGATTATTCAAAAACAAGTTATTCATCCCGAGAATAACGAATGAAATACAGATCAAGCAAGTATTTGAATCTTGAAGGCTTCCCTGATCAAAACAAAAATACTTAACTGAGATGTTTATAATTTCAATCATTCATATCTCCATCAGCATGGGTATGAAATGCCAAATCTGCTGAAATCGGAAACAAATCAGGTATGCGTCTCAACCCAAATAACCAACCGTCACAATGTTGTTCATTCTTGATGACGTCCAGTAGATCCTTTTTAATTCCTAGGAGCTAAAGTTCAACTTTAGCTCCTAGGAACTGAAATTCAACTTTAGCTCCTAGGAACTAAATATGTTGCTTAGCAACGTACCTATTTTTGTGTCAGTAATAGAAACGTCAATTTAAGAGCTAATTTTGGTATCAAAATAGACGACTTTTGTGTCGGTTGCAGAAAAAAATTTTTTTTCACACATTTGGAATGATTTCTATGATTCTTGTTACTTACATTGAAATTATAGGTACCCAAGATATCAATTAGTCGATCAGTTTCCAATTTGGGAGTTGTTTTATAGCTAGTAATTTTCTTTGATTCTTCATAGACAGCATCACTGACATAATCTGGGGCTGGGCCACCATTTTCAATGTTATATTTGATGCCGAAATCATGCCTTATACCTCCAGGGTTGTGAGAAGCAGTCAAAACAATTCCACCTTGTAGGGAATTAATTTGGAATTGATTATTTCTAGATCATTTTTGATCATTTATGGGTGAACATTTATTATTTTAGCAGAGAAGATGCTGTAAACTAGGACTTACCACCCCTTCCTAAATGAAGGGGTCACCTTATCTCTATATCAAAAATTTTGAAAATACTAGTCCGGTTGATCCGCTTCTGGAACGGCTTCTACAATGTTCTAGAAAAATTCAACTACAATATTTGTTCAAAGGGATTCTTATTGAGAGAAAATGACTTTTTTTCTGTGACAGAAAGTTTGCAATTTCATATATGTTAACAGGTCAATATTTGCTTATCAGTTGTATTAGCCTTTTCTTACTATGTATTTTCGAAATATCGACCATTTTTTGGCATTGTTGAGCTCAACAAGCAACTGTCGTTATTGTTGTTTTATTGTCATAATGTAATACCATAAGAGATACTATTCCACCGGAAATATTCAGCGATTGAATTTCGGGAATGACATTGTTTATCAAAACTTTCGAGCCGTAGGTGAGAAGTTTTGGATCAATGTCATGAGCGAAATTGAAGCAGCAAGCTGAAATATGTCAATCGACGGATAATATTTCCAGGAAAAATAGTATCACGAGTTGTATTCGTATGAATATTTCATGATTGAGACAATAAACGAGTGCCTCGCGAGAGTTGCGCACATTGCATATATCATTCTGGCTTCCACCATGATTGACATTTCAAATTTCAGAAATTTTATCGATGAAAAACAAAGCTTCTGTATTGGTTGTGAGCAAGGCCGATAAAATTCAGTAAACAAAAAAATATCGCTGTAATACAGAAGAAATTGTGAAAATGATCGATTCTGCTTGGTTATCGAGAACAATAGTGGAACAGTCAACATCTATAAATATTTCACATAATAGCCTACTTGCGAAAAAACTAAAATCGTTTTCAAGTGTCCAAAAAAATAAAGACAAAAAAAAGATAAAAACCATGTTGATCCTATTACCAAACAAGAGATTTTAGACCTTCTGTTGATGTGTCTCAGACAAAATTACTTTCAATTTGACAGCAAAATATATTCCGCGTCAAAAGGGTTGATTATGGGAAATCCACTAAGCCCTATACTTGCTGAAATTTCCATGGATAAGTTGGAGCGAATAATACATAAACATTAATTGATAAAACAATGTTTGTATTGGTATAGATACGTAGATGACGTTATAGTATGCTATAAAGGTACCAATAGACAATTAGACAGTTTTTACCAATATATTAATACTATTCATCCAAACATAAAATTAATAATGGTATTTAGAAACTCATATTGTTTTTGTTCAAGGAATATATGGTAAATGGATTGACCTCCATTTAGCAGACACCCTGTATAAAAGTTGATCACGCCAAGGTTAATTTAGTTCATGTACCAGTATATCACCTGACGAAGCTACTGTGTTAGCGAAACATGTTGTGTGTATAAAAATTTTGTGGAAATCTTATCGTTTGTGAAGTTTTTACATAATGTAATTTTTTGCTTGGGAGATAACAAAAATGAAAAAAAAAAACAATGAGTGAGAAATCACCAACTAGCAAAATATTGAGCAGACTTTATCCCTTTCATAGATATCATTCCAGGAAGAGATGTAAACCTATTGAAAATTTTCATAGGCTCTCAAAAACTCAAGCATGCTGATAAAATTTTCGAAGAAAAAAAAAGTTATTCAATGGGCGTGTACACCTTAGTAGAACTTTCAACTCAAACCATGTTTATAATGATCCTTTTATACATAAATAATGATTGACGACATAATTCGATCAAAAAATCAACTGGAATATTTTATTTTTGGGCATAAATAATAGTACCTTCTGAAAACGGACCCTCTTATGACGTAGAAACCTCATCTCGCCATAGTTAAAAGAAAATACCAAACGCCCGACGGAGACTGAGACAAATGATATATTAATTCTTTCAACTGTGATCTCGCGCTAATTTACTATCAGAAATCATGTATCATTCATCTCTGTCTGGAATAGTCTTGTTTCAGTATTAGGGTTTTGACGTCACATCATCGCCTTGTTTTCAGAGGTCCGAAAAATCGGGGATTTCAATAATTTTTTATAAAACGTAGGGAGCTCACAGCAAGAAACGGTTTGCGGTTTGGGTTGTATGAGTTCTATCGAGTTATGAAATAATTTTTTTTGTGATATAAGCCCATTATCTGGGTTATTGACTTACCTAATACATTATGTCTTCTAATCAGGCTTGATACAGCAGGAGTGGATAAAAGTCCAAGTTGTCCTATGACTAATTTCGACACCTACAATGAATAACAATATGTATCATTCATTGATTGATATCACATTTCGCAACAAAAATGGGTGTGAAATGATAAGAAACACATGTCCAACATATCTAGATTGATTACAAATGATATTATTAAGCACCAAGTTGATTTTATCAAGACAATGTATGTTCAAGTTCAATACTGCCCTGCTCAAATCAAACGCGGCATTTACAAATAATTCAATTCTCGTTTTTTTTTCAGTTCTAGTATTCTAACATCATTCTATCCATCTAAAAGAAGAAAAATGCGGTAGTTAGGAAAATTTCACAACCAACATTTTCGACCACCAAAAAGCCTGTATTTTGCGTTGTTACCACAGCAACTAAATAGATTTCTGCACATTTTTTCCTCCTCTTTGCGCAAAGAAGCATAAAATTACACTGGAAATTATTTGACGTTTATAAGTAAAACTACAATTACATTTAACTTCAGATTTCTTCGAATTTATTCTATATGTTGATAAGTTCCTTGTGAGAAAATATATTTCGACCAACTTTAGCTGAATGAACTTCTGAGAAACTAAGAAAATGATTATTTCATTCAACTAAAGTCGTTTAACATATTTCATTTAACCTAATAATATTACGTGAGCAAATAATATTACGTGAGCAATACTTATTACTTTGAACAATGTCTTTTCTATTTTTTTATTTTATAGGATACAGGCTACTCAACAGGTCAAATGACCCAATTACAGAGAAGCACAAAATATACTGAACATCAGTTAACAATCGAAGGTTATGAAAAGTTGAAGTTTATATAAATGTGATTGATTACAACAGTTGAATATAAAAAAAACATTAAATGGAAAAGGTGAATTTCAGTGAGCTATTTGAACAGTCGTTACAGTTTAGGTTACAATACCTAATTGTGTGAAAAGAAGTCAAGAGTGAATAATTTGCCTCAATTTGGTTTTAAACCTGAATATTTTCGTGGTGAAAATATCTACAAGAGAGTTGTTTCCTATCACATTATAAGAATTTATGCACCTATGTAAGGGAGAATTCAGAAGAGAGTTAATAAAGCTAGGTCCAGTTGTGAAGAGATGTCTGTTTCTCACGGCATATGGAGTACTGTTCAAAGTGTGTCGAAAAATTTTCTCCTCAGTTCAAGATTTTCAATTTTGTAGTGTTTGATATTGGCATTGTATGAGGAGACAATTTTTCCATGGTTAAATCGAAAATTCAGGGGATTCAAGGGATTCCAGATGACAGATGCATACTCCAGGGAGGATCTCACAAGGGAGTTGTACAACGTTTCAACAGCATCTGGGTCTCCGAAAGAAGTTGTCGCCCTCATAATAAACCCAAGATTTCTTAGACTTTTCTGCACCGTCAATTCGACGTGTGTGTCAAAGGTTAATTTAGTATCTAGGTGAACACCTAAGTCTTTGATGACATCACAATCTCCCAGAACCTCACAGCACAGTACGAGATTGGAAGTGGGAGGATGATTACTACGGGTAAACAGGATCCTGTGACATTTACCAACGTTCAATTGAAGTTTGTTAACTACACAATATTCTGTGAACCTAGTCTAATTGAAAACATTGGTATTCCTGCTGAGTGGTCACCGATTAATACACTTTCAGAGCGCCAGCAAAAAGTTTGAATTTGGCCCCCATTTGAAACACTGATCAACATCGTTCAAAAAGATTTAGAACCAATTATTACTAACGAAATTAATTGTGTTGAATCTTTCAAACGAATCTTTGGCTCCTCTGATTGCTTCTCAATATTTCATAATAACATAAGAAGTATCTCCAAAAATTTTGATGAATTACAACTTTATTTATCTGAAGTCCAAGACGCGTTTAGCATCATCGCTCTTACCGAAACCTGGAAAGTTAATGATCCGGATTATTTTGATATAAAGGGCTATACAATGATTTGTAACAGTGAGCGGGTCAATCAAAATGATGGAACTATGGTGTATGTTCGTGATAATCTCTACGAGAGGCACGAGTTTATAAAAATCGGAGATGTAAATGGTGTTGTAGTTTACATGTCCTACAATAAAGTAAAGATATGTACTGTCGTTGTATATAGACCTCCCTGCACTGAAGTCGAAGATTTCAATACCAACCTACATGCATTTCTACAGACAGAAATGGTCGCAGCCAATGAATACACCTTTTTCTTGGGAGATATCAACATAAATATTTTAGATCACGAAAACAAAGACGTTGATGAGTACCTGAATATTATGTCAGCTGAGGGATTCAGATCATTGATTAATAACCCAACTCGAGTAACTTCTATGTCGAACTCATGCCTCGATCATATATTTCTCAAAAATAGCACAGATAATACTGAAAATGTTTTCCCAGCCATTGTAAAAACAAACATCACTGACCATTACTCTACTTCATTAATTTTGAATAATCTGAGAATTGAACAAGCTCATAACGACGGCATAGTGTCTTATAATTACTTGGACGAAAGTAAAGTAGTGAAAATAATAAAAACTGAATCGTGGTCCTCCGTTTACAGTGTGAATGATGCGAATTTGGCAACAGATAATTTCATAACTACCCTGAGAGGAGTAATTCAAAAAGCCACTAAAATAAGATTGATAAAACCATTCAAAAAAAGGAAACCATGGATTACTAGAGGTTTGATAACATCAATTGATAAGAGAGATAAACTACATGAAGGACTTTTGAGAGATCCTTTAAATACCGAGAAACAAACATTATATAAAAGATACAAAAACAAACTAACGCTATTGCTCAAAAAAACTAAACATGATTATCTCAAGAACAAAATCGAGGAAAACAAATCATCCTCTAAAAATCTTTGGAAAATTGTGAAAGAATGTTGTACAAAATCGAATCCAATCCATATCAAAAACATTAAATTAGAGAACGGATCGGTGATAACCGACAAAAATCAAATCGCTAATCACTTCAACGAACATTACTCTAGTATAGGTAAAAAAATGGCTGAAGCAATCCGCCAACGTCCAGAAACAAAAAATAATTATGCTAGGTCAAACGCAACAATTTTTCTGAAACCTACGGACCATAAGGAGATAGAATCAATCATTGTTGAATTGAAAAACAAAAAAGCAACTGGTATTGATGGTATCTCAAATGAAGTCCTCAAACTGACTAGCAAATATATCGCTAAACCTATATCACATATCATAAATTTGACGTTCGAAAAAGGGCTAGTTCCAAGACACTTCAAGAAGGCTGTAATCAAGCCTATCTATAAATCGGGTGGAAGATCTCAAGTCTCTAATTATAGACCAATCTCTTTGATCTCATCTATAGCAAAAATCTTTGAAAAAGCAGTCAATATTCGATTAACCAGTTTCCTGAATAAAAATAAAATAATATCGCAACATCAATATGGTTTCCAAGAAGGCAAATCAACGCAGGATGCTATTGCTGAGCTAACATCAATTGTCTATTCAGCTGTTGATAAAAAAAAGCATGTTTGGGTGTATTCGTGGATCTGGCGAAAGCCTTTGACACGGTAAGCCATGAGCTTCTGCTTGATAAACTGGACTGCCTCGGTATACGAGGGATAGCACATGACTTATTCTCTAGTTACCTGAGAGACAGGAGTCAAGTAGTAAAAATTGATGATACTTACAGTCACGAAGAGACAGTCATATATGGAGTCCCACAAGGTACAGTCCTAGGTCCTGTTTTATTTATTATATATTTGAATGATCTGCTTCAGCTGAATTCAAAAGGAGTAATATTATCCTTTGCAGATGATACTTCCATTATCTATGAGGGTAACTCTTGGGACGAAATAGAACAAACTGCTAAAGCAGACATTCAAATGATTTTTGATTGGTTCGATGAGAACAAACTGACAGTCAACGCTATGAAGACAAAAATTCTACCCTTCACATCTTACAAACCATTTCTGCCTAATTATGATACTATAAATGTAAATAATCATGCAATTGAACTTGTACAATCAGTGAAATACCTAGGTATCTACATTGATTCCTTCTTAAGGTGGGATGTACAAGCTCGCAATATTGTGAACAAATTGAGAGGTATGATTCATAGATTCAAACAATTAGTTGGATTCCTAACATCACACCATCTCAAAACTATCTACTACGCATTCGTAGAATCCATTCTTCAATATGGTATTATAGGGTGGGGTGGTATTGGGAGAAATTATTTGCAACCAATTGATGTTATTCAAAAATGGATAATTAAAATCATACTCAAGAAACCTCGCAAGTATCCCTCAGACCAGTTATTCATGGATGCCAAGGTAATGGACATACGACAACTCTTCTGTTTCAGAGCTCTCTGTTTCCTTCACTCCAATAGGCATATTTCAAATAATATACCACATACCTACGGTACCAGGCAAAATATAGCATCTGCCATTTATGTCCCTGCTACTCAGAAATCGCTTGGTCAAAGAAATTTCCGCTATACAGGTTCAAAATTGTTCAATAAATTACCCAATGACTTGAAACAACTTAACTCGGCTCGTCTATTCAAAGCCAAACTGAAAAATTGGATATTGTCTAATGATAGAACATTCTTCACCTATGTCATTGATCCAATCTAGAAAATATCTACTTCAGAAAAATGTTATAACTTTTATTTTCTTTCTTCTCATTGTTTCATTATTTACCTCTTTTGTACGTTTCGGAATCATCTTATATCAATTATCTTATTTTCTAATAAATAGTTAGGTAACAGTTACATAATGAAATCATATTTCTAGTTTTAGTATTGATTATTTCTTCCATTTATTTCTCTACTATAGTCGAATGATTCAACTGAACACAAGACATATTCTCGATAGTAAACTTCAACAGATTGTTAATACCCGAAGACAAGTTCTTAAATGAACTTAGTCGGGTACTCTCTCCTGTTTATTTACTGCTATATTTCTTTCCGTAACGAACTATTTAGTTTTCACTGTTTATTGCATGAACACTATCTGTAAAAATAATGTACTGTAACCTTCTGTAAATAAACATTCATTCATTCATTCAGTAGGGGTCCCAGGTGAGTTCCCTGGGGTACCCCAGATGTGACTATCATGGTCCTCGATTTATAATCATTGATAACTACGTACTGTGTTCGATCTGAAAGGTATGATTTCCAAAGTTGAAGTAAATTGCCGTGCTCACCGAAGTTCTGAAGCTTATTGATTGATATCACATTTCACAACAAAAATGGGTGTGATATGATAAGAGACACATGTCCAACATATCTAGATTGTTTACAAATTATATTGTTACGCACCAAGTACTTGCCTAGAAATACTAGTCAAAGTAGATTGACTTTATCATAGATTAACTATGACTTTATCAAATCAAACGCGGTATTTACAAAAAAATCGATATGCGTTTTTTTTCAGTTCTAGTATTCTACCGTCATTTTCAATCCATCTAAAAGACAAAAAATGCGGAAGTTAGGAAAATTTCACACACAACATTTTCGAACAATTAGAAGCCTGTATTTTGTGTCGTTACCATAGCAACTGGATTTTTTTGACGTTTATAAGTGGGATGGCTTTTTAAATTTAACTTCAAATTACGTCGAATTCGTTCTATAAGATGATAAGTTCCTTGTAAGAAAATATATTTCTGCCAACTAAGGCTAAATGACTTTGAAAGAAACTGACAGATCGAGCTACTATTGACTCATTTTTTATTATTTCATTAAATTAAAGTCGTTTAATCATATTTTATTTGACCTCATGATATTACGCGAGCAAGTTTCATTGATATTAAATATTACTTGGAGTTTCTTGTGAGAAAATATATTTCTAACAACTTTAGCGAAAAAATTTGTGAAAACCTTAGAAATTGAGCATTTATCGACTTCTTTTTTTATTTTGTGTTTTAGTTACTTAATAAAGTTAGTTAATCGTGTTTGACTTAATCTAACAATGTTACGGATATGAATTATATTGATACATACTGTTTCGAGAGTTCCAGTTCCTTGTAACAAAATATATTTCCACCAACGAGGGTTGGGCTGATTTAAATCAATTGATTTGAATCAAGATAAAAATCATGATTTATATCAAGTGATTGAAAAAAAAAAACACAATTCAAATCAAAGCTAATAATAATTTCGAGAACATTCATCATTTATTTGAATAACCAAAAATATTAGACCAACTCAGTGACAGAAAGAAAAACAAATTTCCGGAACGGTTCGAATTTATTGGGGCAAAACGGTTTGGTGAAAGTAAAATTGTAAAATTAGCCTTTTACCCCGGTTCTAAAATGTAGAAAATATGCTCCATATTAATTTTTTTTTATCCCTTCCACTCGTTGTATATGCTTGTTCAGATGGTTCTTCACAAATTTCGTGATTTTTGACCTTAAGGTAGTTTAGAACCAGGATACTTTTTATCCTGGTACCATTAGGAAATTCAAGATGGAGGATCTAATATATCGGACGAGTTTTGTAATTATGGCCCGATTCTATTCAAAATTGGTATCTGGGGTTTCCGGTGTCGGAGATTATGATTCTTTCGTCAGAATTTGAAAATCCGGGCGGAATTTGGGAATTCAAAATGGCGGAACCAATATATATGGCGGACGAGTTTTGTAACAATAATCCCACTCTTTTCAAAATTGGTACCTAGGGATTTTCGTGATCGGGGATTATGATTCCTTCTTCAAAATTAAGAAATTCAAGATGGCGGATCAAGAATGGCGTATTTTGTAATTAGGATCCGATTTCATTCAAATTTGGTATTTGGTGGTTCTTGGGGCCGGAGATTATGATTCTTTCGTCAAAATTAGGAAATTCAATATAACAGACCCAATATGGCGGACGAGTATTGTAATTATTATGATCCGACTCTCTTCAAAACTGTTATCTGGGTGTTTTCGGGGTCGGAGATTATGATTCTTTTGTCGAAATTAGGAAATTCAAGATGGCGGACGAGTATTGTAATTATGATCCGACTCTCTTCAAAATTTTTATCTGGGTGTTTTTGGGGTCGGAGATTATGATTCTTTTGTCAAAATTTGGGAAGGGCGGGATTTGGAAATCCAAGACGGTGGAACCAATATACCGGACGAGTTTTGTAATTATACACCGATTCTATTCAAAATTTGTAAGTGGGCGTTTTCGGGATAACAAATTATGATTCCTTCGTCAAAATTAGGGAATTCAAGATGGTAGATCCAATATTGCGGACGAGTTTTGTAATTATGTTCCGATTCTATTCAAAGTTTTCATCTGGGATTTTAGGAGTCGGATATTATGATTCTTTCGTCAAAATTGGGAAATTCAAGTGAACTAAAAAGAAGTTGAAATACATGGGTAGTTTGAAAAACTAAAGAAACACACTTTTATAGATAGTGAAACTAAAAAGAAGTAGAAAATAAATTAATAATAGTGTCTTGATGAATATGGAACTGGAAAAATATATTTCTCATGGTAGGCATGCCATTTGTTGATAATATGTTGAATATTGAAATTTTTGAGAATATATAATATATTTTATTGAAAAATCAATAATGTAATAAATCTCAATAATGTGCATATGGAAGAATACACATGGTATACCCCCCTTTTCTTATTTGTTTCTCTAGCTATATTTCTGAAATTTGGAACAGGAAGGCGGGAACAAATTCATTAAATGTGAGAAAATGCTTCTATTGAGCATATTCCATATTCTAAATTTGAGAAATATATCTGAAAAAAAGGAGGAAAAAGAGGGGTTCAATCAGGCACATTTTCACACTGAAAAGACAAACTTATCAACTGTTAAGCAACATTTTTTATTAACTATAACTGAGACTGAAGAGATATTTTGAGACCATTTATAGTAGTGGACCATATCTAAAATATTTACAGATCAAGTGATATCTAGAGTAATATAGAGCAAGTTAATTGACTTGGTAATTACTTGATGGAAATCCTGGGAAATCCATAGTAAATGTAAAAAAACTACAGAAATGATAAGATTATCACAAAAATTCTTGTTCATGTTTTGGTGTTTTGCTAACACAGTAGAAGGATCACGGTAATGATCTAACTGAAAAAAAAAAACAGAGTTTGTTCTATGCACTAATATTTCTCTTGAAGAAGAAAGATATTGTGTTAGCCAAACATGTTCTGTTATTGAGAATTTTTGTGGAAATCTTATGGTTTGTGAAGTTTTCCAGATTTAGTGAACTAATTTTTTAGATATTTTGTTAGCCTTTCTCTTCTCCCTATATATTGCAATTTTTAATGACTGAATATGTGAAAATTTTATTTGTACAATATTTTAAGTAGGTAGTCAGATAAATTTTTAGATTGTAAAAATACCTATTGATTCAAAGTAGGTGTTTCTGAATCATAAATTCACAAGAAATACTTAAAAACACAATCCACCTTTTTTTGTTTTTGTAGAAAAGGTTTCAGACAATAGTTGACATGATATTGCTTTTATTTTACCACTTGCAATGTAGTAGTGATGTAACCAAGGATGTAACTTATTCAAGCTATGTTTTCAAAATGTTATCACTTCATTAATTATGATACACAAGATGTGCAATTTGATAATATCTTGGACTGAATCAAGTTTATGAAAGATTTCTCAAAACTACAGTTTTGTAAGTGAGAGATGACTTCTCTTCTGATCTGCTAACTGTAATATTATAACAAACCAACCTACAAGGTTATAGTAACACAGATTTGGAATCTCGAGAACTTTTAATTACACCTACTCACCCCATTTGCAGAAGCTAATCTGATGATGATATTGATAGCCTGTTTGGAGAAATACCTGCCATCACCACCTACAATGAGTGTGGATCCTTTTACTTTGTCTCCAAGTACATTTAGAATGCATTGAATGAAATTTTCAGTGTAATGTTTCTCCATGAACACCTTAACTTTCTTTCTCAAACCGCTGGTACCTGGTTTTTGCCCCTCAAAAGGGGTTGTCTCAACAATAACAGAGGTGAGAGACATGGTTCTGCTGACTGTCTACTGCCTTCAAAATGTAAAAATATTATTAATATAGACAACACGGAGCAGTGCTTTCCTAATCAGTTTATTCAGATGAGATGATAAAATACTTTTGAGAATGAACTTGAGATATTTCAGAAATTTATGGTCCGGATCAAAAGGGATTGATAAGGGTTAGGTAGGTATTCAATGTTTATCTTACCTCTGTGTCGGAGAAGAGTTTCTGACTGAATACACTCTCAAATATGTAATTTCAATCCTTATTTATCTTAGTTTTTTTTATAATCCCGAGTTTATTGGAGATTCTCTTGATATTTTGAATAGTTCAATGTCATTAGTAGGGCAACAACTGCGCCATTCATCAGCGCATGAAGGATTTCGTTCAAGCGCAGTAGTGCTTGTACAAATTGCACGAATTTCAAAAATGAGAAATCGAAAAGGAAAAGCATAAATGAGCAATGACTTCGATGCATTCTGATGCTAGACATTCAAACCTGAACAAATCGAATAGGAATCAAGTAAAATGATAATACCAATGATAATATTATCATCATCTTCATCTATCTGATTGAAACTAGAATTAATACCATCCAGTGACTCTAACTGAAACAATGGAACGACAGGAGTAGGCAATTTGTCGTACATGTTATTGTGAAATGGTTTGCCTACCTGTTGGCGTAAATGTACAGGGGTGGAGTAAACAGTTTCTTGACGATACATACGATAATAAAAATAATAAGTACATTATTATCTTCATAATTTTACGTGGAATTCTTACCCAAATTGTTTGATTAGCAGTCACCAACCCTAGTCAAATCTGAAATTGTATACTGGGTGTCCCTATTACAGTTAACTGTATTTTATATTTAATCTTTGTAAATTATTCTCTGAGGACAATAAATCATTGCATATATACCAGGCGGGTGAGTAGAGAGTAACAGCTGAATCAGTACAAGTATTATACTGTATGTACACATCCAAATTAATCAGAAACCTCAAATATTGTTATAGAATTTTATTGTTTTCATTTGGTTCATACATCCTGTAGTGATTATCTGTGTTGGAATAATTTTTTCTTTCCTTCAACATGATTGTTAGTTAATTGAATTCTATCAATTTCAGATATCATATAGATAGTTTTTGGTTGTAGAATTCTGAATATTCATTTTTCATGCACTCTTTTTGGGTGTTCAACAGATATACCGAGTGACACAGGAGACATATAGCAGCCTGTAGTATATTTATTTGAAGAGATAAAATTTTGAAATTAACAGCAGGGGGTATATAATAAATGGTAGCGCACTTTACGAACTTAACGACAATTTTTTTCAACCACCTGTTTGACCGGAAGTGACTCCAAATTTTTTTTAAATGTCACCCTGTACATTTCTTCAGTCTATCTTTTTCGCCTTAAAATTCTCTATCCAACCATGTATCACAAAGTGGCATTTATTTCTTAATTACTGTTGAATTGCTTTTTATTCAAAAAGAATAAGTTGGCTGTGACATGAATTCGATGATATATCGACAATGTCTGCAGGTTGTCAATAGCTTGTTTGAGTCAAGATGAAAACCTTCGATAACTCATGATATTGAGGAATCTAAGATAGACACATATTTTTTAGAATTCAGCTACTCGTACAGAAACTATCTGTCTTTTATTTTCGCCATGTACCTATCACAACATGATCTTCCCATTTGGAAAAATAAAACTAAAATTGTTCCTCTTATACGATGATCCACAGGGCTATCAGTCTATTTTTTCATAATTATTTCACTTAGCAGGCGGTGTACCTACACAAAATGTTTTATGTGTTTGACAGTTAATCGATTGCATCAATATTTTTTCTTCGTCATTTATGTGTTGATTAAAATTGCATATTATCTATAGAGACGGAAAATGTATTCGAGAAACGAAAAAGTCAATATGAAAAACAGATATCATAATCAAAAAGGTAATTTCAAAACTCTGAAGAAGTTCAGGAAGTTCGTGGAAGTCTTAGGAAGTTCGAGGAAGTTTGAGGAACTTTGGGGAAGGTTTGGGAAGTACTAGAAAAATCGGGGAAGTTTGGGAAGTTCGAGGAAGTTTGAGGAAGTTTGGTTATAGTTTTGCCACATAGGAAGGTTGGTATAAAAGTTTTTGGGCCGTGTGATTGACTCTACGTTTTCCTACTGAGAAACGATGATAGCAAGGGAAGGAAGACCCTAAACGAAATTATTCATGATGAGCCTCAAAAACAGCCTTCCCGATGAAACTTTGCTCCACTTTGCTCCGCATTATGAAAAATATCATAATGATTCGTGAGAATAATATACATTCCTAACAGCAAGCTCTCTTCCACACACGGAATTCTAATAATGGTTTATTTTTTTTGTAAAACACATGTTAGATCTGTTACAACACATATGCCAACATTTAAGTCCCTAAAACGGCAGTTGTACATGTCGATCTCTGTCTATCGCATTCGAATCAGCCACGAAATTTCGTGAACGAAAACCAAATCAATTTCCACTGGGGCATATCATATTACTGATTATAAATTCGGCTATGTTAATCCACATAATAATATCAGAGCGATGTTAGGTATTGACTCCAATTTTTCACAGACAGTAGAGCATTTATTTCTGATTTTGTGCGCATTTTTATACCGTGAAAAGTTCTGTGAGGTTATGCGAAAAAATGATCATTTGGATTAGTGGTGCTAATATCAAGAAATTTCCAAAATTACTAGCCAACTATCTTTTCAAGCGGCGTTCAAAAAGTGGGAGGTTATACATTTGACACCACATGGGTATGTATGTATACAGGGTGTCCCAGAATAACGTTCGTATGCTCCGGGATATAATTCTGCAGATGCAAATAAGGAAAAATGTTCCTATCAACATGTGTCCGAATATGGTTATTAAGGTAGGTCCTAAAATACAGTTTTCTTTGCTTATCTTTGTTATCATTGATGCATTGATGTACAGGGAGGTGCGAAATTCCTAACCGATGCTATAAAAATTACTCAAGCTTTCAATTCTACTATCAGAATATGATTCTTCAAACACATCTACGTAAAAAGGTATTCTTGTTGGAATGCCGTAAAACGAACCGTTTTAGAGAAAAAGGGTTATTTTGAATTTTGATGCCCAAAAAAATTCACAGTGATTTTGAGCATGTGTTCTTCATTAATTCTCTATTTATTTAGCAAAAGCTAATATACAAGTCAATGTGATATGAAAACAGTCATAAGATCTAAACGAACAAGGAACATCTAAACATTTAATCCAACACAAAAGGTACAATAAAAATACAGGACATAAAATAAAAGATTTGAAATCTTCAAAAGTTTGAGTTGGTTTGTTTCAATAAATGCATTTTTAACTTGGTCTTGAATATATTGATGGAAAATGCATTCTTCACGTCAGATGGCAAGTCATTACATTGTTTCAATCTAAAAAAAACGGAATTACCTGCCAATCTTTTACTCTTCGGTAAAATGAAAAAGAGTTCTTTCTGTCTGGTGTTATGATGATGCATTTCTTCATTATAAGTCAGCTTATTCACCAAATAATTTGGTGCTTCACCTTTTTGTATTTTAAAAACAAATACCAATACCAAAAATTCAAAATAATCCTCAATAGGCAGCCAATTTAAACTTTTCAACATATCCTTTATGAGTTTGTACTTATTACATGCTAATATAATACGCATTGCTCTGTTTTGCAATTTTTGTATTCTATTCAAATCATTCTGATTCAGAAGATATAGAATTGTTGAACAAAAATTGAGGTATGGAAGAATTAGAGTATTGTGAACAATTTTCTTGGAAAAAAATGAGAACAAATTAGAACTTGATAATTTTGATTAAGTTCCATTTACTTTTGTTTCATTATAGTTAATCGTGATGAGTGAATAAGTTTGTGAAATTTAGTAAATTTCCGTTGCGGATATAAAGTGCTCAAAGAAACAAATGGACTTCTGAAATTTTCGACCATTTTCACAGCCATAACTTTTTAGAAAATGAATGAATTTTCAATCGGAATGCAGTGCTTGGAAGATGAGATTTTTCTGTTCATGATTCCTTGTTCAAAACTAGTCAACAGATTTTCTGTCATTATACACCGAGTGCTTCACACACGCTTCCGTATTCCAGGGATTTTTTTTTATTTCTCTATAAATCGTTTTTTACGAACGTTCAAGCCAATATCTCTCGAAACGGTTTTGTGATTTTCCATATTCCTCATACAGGATGTTGAAAATCGATAATTTTCATTTTTGTTTTTTATCGCATTATTTCCGATTTTAAAATTATGCAAGCCACATTCGAAGCATTTTGCCACTTTATACCATGGAACACATCCTAGAAAATGGATTCATATTGCGTTGAAATCATCGAAAACTTCAACAGAAGAAAAAATTTTTTTTTGAGAAATGTCCAGAATTTGGTGAAATCATCTGTTCATCAGTTTGGTGCTGCCATAACCATAATATGCTATGTTAAACACAAATCCCTCATTTGGATCGATTGCTCTGCTCAATATTTTGAATTGATTTCGTGATTTTTCAGATGAAGCAATCCAAGGGGGCGCCAGGGGGCTCTTCTGGATTTTTCTGACCAATTCATACAATAACGATGCTACAATGGTTTTGAGATATTCCTGAGCTGGTATAGATTCAAGAAACCTATTTTTCACATAGTTTTTCATCGCGTAATCAAAAATCAATCGATAAAGTCGATTTCTTGTAATCAACACCCATTGTTTACGCAATTATTACCACCGCAACACCCAATATAATGCCTTCTGTCGAACCTTTGACAAGTGTCATCATCCAACAATATATATTTATATTCAAATTCAACCAAACGAAAGATGTGATCTGGAACTTTGAGTGTATTGAAAATCATTATTTTTCGAACAAGTTTTCATTTCTGAAATTGAAAGTACCTAATAATAATCATTACATATTTAATATTTTGTTGGTCCACCTCGTCTATTCAGTAAATATTGACATCTTCGAGGCATTGATTCCATCAAGGATCGAATGAAATCTTGTGGAATTCTGGCCCATTCATCACGAATTATGATGTCTGAACTTTTATAGAAAATTTAATCAACAGTCAATCCAAATACGAGATGTCAAATGTCAACAGATTGCTTTTGAATGACATTACACATGTCATTATTTTGAATGATATTCTTCCTTCTTCTCACTATGGATATATATGGATAAATCACAAGAAAATCATGTTCCTAGTTGACTCATATAATAGAGAAAAATGTGCCGTACATTGTGATATATGTATAAATTGTCCAATAATGATCAAAAAAGAAGGGCAAATTGTTCTAAATGC